GAGAGAATCAATGTATGGAGCAGTGTACAGTTTGAACCCAAGATGAAGCTTCTTTATTTTTTGACAGTTTTCAATRCTTTTTTATCTTTTTTCTTTAATTACTGTCAACATTTTTCTGAAGAAAGATTAATTTTAAAAACCATTTTAATATTCATAAAATGGATTTAAAAATTGATCTTTCTCAATAAGACATCTTACTGTTTCATCTGGGGCTTGAAACCATGCAAAGCTCAATACATTGACTCAGCCGTGAAAGCAACTCAAATGCTGAGCATGTGATGCTTCTAAGGAAGAAACAGTAACTGTATGACTTACTTGCAGTTTCCCTCAAGTATTTCAAAAATGAAGCATAAACTGACTTTTCAAACTTTTCAGCATTTGTTCCTTGATCACTGAATTTAGGTTTTAAAAGACTTGTCAGCATCTTATAGGTAAGTGTTGTTTGCGAAGTATTACGAAAGAGATTGTACTCGAATCGAGCAAACTGCCACATGTTTCAACGCACTTTATTCGTTTATTATGAAAACTTGTCTAGAAAAGCGGTTAAACCTGAGGAAAAGTTACAAATATACTTATAACTATTAAATCTTACAACAATTATTAAAATCGAAACAAAAGAACACTTACAACATGGTGTATATGCGTTTTGACTAAGCTCTTTTCGAGTAATGCGACGGCCATGTTTCTTTCCTTCTCCGCCCACAGTGTCTTATGGGTCAACACAGGTATCCCAAGAAAAACAAAAAAAATGTTTTGATCGCGAGACTGAATAATAAAAATTACAATTCCGATACACTGGAGGGGTGAAATGTCGAGCGATCACTAACTAATGTTCCTTTACAGTGTTCTTGAATTCTGTGTTTACATCTTCAAGCTTGAAATCTGCAGGAACCAGTACGGCCAAACGATGGACACTTCTAGAGACGACAATATCTCTTGCACCATTGTAGTGTTTAACTTTCTCTCCCACTTTGTAAGACTTGTATCTAACCGTGACTTGTCGTACCTTTCCGTCAGCACTTGGGTATACTTCTTTCACTTGTCCCAATCTGTACTCTCCTCTCAGGGTATTCTTGTCTGCGATGATGACTACATCTCCAGGTTGAAGGTTGCGTTCTGTTGTATTCCACTTCCTCTGACGTACCAGCGTAGGGGCATATAGCTCCGTCCATTTTTTCCAAAATTCATCAGCAATCGCTTGCACAATGCGATAGCGTGTGTTGATACAGGATCCTTGAGACTGCCATCCGCGTGGATTAACCGCAGTAGCTCGTCCTAACAACAAGCTGTTGGGTGTCAATATATTCAGCTCAGAATCAATACTTGGTAGTGAACCAATTGGACGTTCGTTCAGTAAGTTGGATACTTCACTGCACAAGGTTTGGAATTCTGGAACCGATAGACGTTGGTTATGAACAGCAAAATGAATGGCTCGCTTCGCGCTCTTCACAAGCGATTCAACAGCGCCTTGGTACCGAGGGCTGTCTGCCGGACCAAACACCCAGGTTGTGCCTTTGGTTGTACTGTTTCTTTGCAGGCTGTCTTTGTCAATCTTCTCCCAGGCTTCCTTAGTTCTCGTTCTGCTCCTACTAGCTTGGACCCTTGGTCGCTATATATCTTCTCCGGCCAGCCTCGAAGACTAGTGAATCTGCTAAGAGCCATGAGAAAGGAACTGGTATCATCCATACACAGGTTCTATATGGACCGCTCGCATAGTAAGATCTGTGAAAATAACACCGTAGGCTTTGCCATGAACTCTTTTTTGTACTTCACCACGTACTGTGTAGGGACAAAATAAATCAATATGTGGTATTTATATAGCGCCGATATCCTCTGAGTTCACAGGCGCTTCACATGTATATAGATCATTTCACACGGACCGCTGTTTAAGGTGTAACAGTCTAGGTTTGGGCTTCATGTGCCTCATCGGAGGACTGGGGCCTAGTTCCTCGAAATCAAACCATTTGCTGTGTACTTTGTGATTCTTCGTTGACAAAACTGTCATAAATCTCGGTAAGATTAAGCCATSCTCTTGTAATCTTGTCTTAGATACATTAATTAAGGCTTCTTTTGTTATCTACTCGAGTTTTGTATCTTTTTACGTGTTGTTTGATAAGTATTTTCTAGATATAGTTCAGTGACTCCTGTTTTTCACGCCAAGTGACTCGATTGTTCACTTAACAATAGTTTATCCTTACAAATCCATTGTATTTATTAAGAACAAGCACTTAAACTATATC